AGATTGCTTTTTGCTTGGTAAAGTGGTGCCAACAACTGTGCTTGCCCGAAATGTGCTTGCTTGATGCCGGTTTTCTTTCGAAGACACGGAACATGCCGATCACTGACCGGGATGTGATGACTCCCGGCAGGTTCCGGTAGATGACCATTGCGGTACAGGTACATGTTGTTTTTCCATGGGTTTTTGGAGTGTTTTAAGACTTAGCATCATTGGTGATTTGTGGAATGGTGCCAGAATGCTCTTAATCAATTGAGATATATTGAGATTATTTGAACCGACTTTGGTGCATTGTTGATTATGCAAAAAGGCCTGCGTCCGGCTCTGTTGTGCAGCCGATGTCTCTCCACCGTTTGCATTGTTTCTCGTTGCTTCCGGAAGGCATTGAGACTGCGTCGGGCGTTTCACTGACGCTGGCCTCGGACTACACTGTGGACGGGGTGGTGGAAAGCTCAGGGGGGCATTGGATGGGATTGGTTTGGTTCGCATCGGGCGATGGAACCAAGGATTGGCTTCACACATGGGTTTCTTCGCGAGAGTTGCTTGAGATGATTCAGGACCAAAGAGACCTTACTGGTTACTAGGAGCAAGAAGCTACTAGTAGCTCCTGGCACGAGAAAGACACATGCTTTGGCCATCCCATGCCATCTCTCACATCCCACAATGAAAAATGTTAAGAAAGCACTTGCAACTGGGTGAAATACCTCATGTTTTTGTTGAGGCTTACCTGATTCATCAGGGGTACCTAGGGATGTGAGGTGACTGAATAAACCCTGGGCTGGGCGTCTGGACATGTTGAAAATGTTTAACCAACTTATATATAACTTATTCTTAGGAGCAAATATCGGTTTGCAGTCCTCAGGGCAAACCTCCTTGCTACCGGAGTCTGTTTGCAAGATGGACCTTCGGTACGATATGTAAACCAATCTCTTCTTTAAAAGATCCATCCACTTCTCGGCTGGTGGCTGGGAGCGTGAAGTGATAGTGAACCGTTGCACATGCACCCCATTCTCTCAATCTGCCCAGAATTGTTCGGTTTGGGGCCGGTCGTTTTGGCATTGCTCGTGTTTTGCTTTTGAAAGGGTTGGACCTTCTGCCCGGGCCACGCGGCTTCTTTTGCATGCAGAGCAATTTTGGCGACTGATGGTCTCTCCAGTTGTCAGTCGGCAAAGAAGACAGGAAGCGACGTCATCTACCAACCCAACATGTCGCTTTCATCGACCAACGAGTCACGGCCTTGAGGGCGGACCAAGAGTCGAGTCTCATCCATCGCGGAGAAGTGTCGCACCGAAGATCAATGCGAGGTTCTGCCGAAGATGAAGCGGCGTGACACGCGCAGGTTTTGTGAAGTTTAGTCCGCCCACGCGGCGCGGTATGGTCGCAGAAGTGGTCGCGCGTGGTTTACTTCATGTTTGGGCCGTCCTCCTGGCGGAAGTTGCAGAAGGTTTTGGAAGGATGAAGTCACCGCTGAATAGCTATTGATAGGTGGCTGCTGCCCGCGGCCTGGTGTGGCACCTGTGCCACTTCATTCCAAAAGTGAAAGCTAAGGGTGACTTGATATTGAGAGGAAACAAATCCGGAAAGAAGCAGAAGAGCGTCGAAGATTGTCATATCCCTAAGAGTCCTTGGACGCTCCATGCAAGGGCTTGTACAAAGAACCAAAGCTATGACAGCCTGACAGCTATGAATTCATGGCAATGTGGCAATGATCATCAACGAGTGTTTTATAAATATCATATTTCTGGCAATCCATCCATTGTGGGTCCTAACCAGAGAACACAACGCGTCATGCAATGACCCTTTTGAGATTCCTGGGCTTTCACTATGGGGCAAATATCACCGAGAGCATGTATATCCGGCAGATTCTTCCGTTCAAATTGTCCGTTGATCAACCGCCTCCCCGCAGCCCCCGTCCGCATGCGGAGCCCAAGGCGGTGCCCGAGCGATGCTTCGAGTTCTGCAGCCTCACGGACGTCAGGAGACGAGCGACAGACAGTCCAGACCCCGATGCGACGATCCGACCCGATGAAAATTGGTAGGGACAAGATTTGTGTTTGCCAAATCCCTTTATTCTAGAAGTTGTTCATCTTGAAAAAAGGCAACAACAAAAGCAACAATAAAAAGCAATCACAAAATGCAGCCAGAAAAAAGAAAGCGATCATAAAAGCAACACAAATGCAAACAAAATTGCAAGCAAAAATGGAACAACGCGGCATGTTTATAACAAGCAAGAAACAACCTTTGCAACAAACTGCGTGCTGCTGAACAAAAGCACGGAGCACGGATTCAAAGGATTAAAGCGATGGGTGTCGCACCTTGTAGTTCCTAGGTCCTGTACTTCCTTGGCACCTGTTCCACGAAGGATGTCCTCCCAGACACAATCACTGCTACTGCTACTGTAGCTGTGAGCGACTGGGTGACTAACTGTACACCCCTCCAAAAACCGACTCTGGGGTGGCTGACATCTACATGGTCGAGGTTTCTGCACTCAGCCTTTTTTGGTGCACGTGCACCAGCGCACTTTTGGTGGCGGAACTTTCTGGCACACTTTTGGTCGCTTCTTTTCGCTTATTGTTGTTCTGGTGCCAAAGAGCCTTGGCACACTACTGGTCGCTTCTTTTCAGGTGCCGGGTTTCTGGTGCACTTTTGGTCATTTTTTTTGCGTTGTTTTTTTCCTTGCTTGTGGCATTGTTTGCATCTGTTTGCTGTTTTGCGCGAAAAAACAAAAAAATCAAGAAACAATAGCGACCAAAAGTGTGCCAGAAACTCGGCACCAGAAAAAAATGCAACCAAAAGTGCGCCAGAAGCTCGGCACCAGAAAAAAAAGAAAACGACTCAAAGTGAGACGCTTGACCCTTGACCCTTGGCCCTTCTTCCTAACCCAGTACTAACGGCCTCTTCGCAAAATGTTAGAACGCGTTGAATTCCGAATCTGCAGTTAGTCTGTAGAGGCCCCTGCTAGTGACTAGTGGTGCGGGTACGAGGTAGTAGTAAGTAGCAGCCAGCAGCAGCAGCAGCACTTTATTGTTACTTTTTCTTGCACTTGGCTTTGCACTTGGCTTTGCTTGTGCTTTTTTGTTTGCACTTCTTTTTTTACTGTGTGTTTAAAGCTTCTCAGTTTCTAGAATAAAGCCACCTCTGGTGGACACAAGACAAGATGGGACAATGGTGATTGCTTGTGTTTAGATACGTGTGTTCGTGTGTTTGGGGATCATGACATGTTTGGACATGTCAACATGAAGATGTTCCGAACAGTTGGTGCATATTTGGAAAGCTTTTGGAATCAAATGACCTGCACCCAAATATGGCACTCAAGTACTGCTTCAAGATGTTGGAACGGCAAAATCGCGCTGGAATCTAATCAGAAGGGAGAAGGCAAGCCATGCCGGTTCCACCAAGATCCACCAAACCATGCCATGGTCTCCATGGCCTTACATTTGGCAGTCCCAGCTTTATGACCTTGGTTAGACCGGACCATGTCTATGGGGCTAACTTCTACGGTGGTTTTTCAGCATCTCCCATGTCTGATGCAGGAGCATGTTCCTGACTTGTGTGCAGCTCTCGCAGAGTTTGTGCACCTTGGACAGACGAACGCACGTGTGTTTCAGCAGGATGTTTGATGGATCAGAACCTTTGGTGGACACCTGCGAAAGCAGAATATGCCGCCGTTGCGGGTCTTGGGGGCTATGTTTGATTTATATATATATATATATATAGACCTCGGGGAGGCACTTGGGGTACAGATCGCCAGGCGAGGTTTGGAACACTGGAGGTTTGATGAGGTACATGGGGTAGTCGATTCTGTTGCATACTGGTGAAGCGCGTGATGCAGTGCCCAGAAAATTAACAGGCGGTATTGTTGAGGGACTAGTGACTAGTACCTCATTGAAATTACCATGCCTTCCAAAATTGTGCTATCGTGGGATGACATTGTTCCGTTGATCTATTCTAAGTGTAGGCTGGACCTGTGCAGTTGTTTGTTGCATCGCACAGGTACGGGATCGTACAAAGAAGTTTTTCTCATGCAGTCATCACTGCGAAAACAGATCATCATACTTGCCCCAACCCCCATGCACTTGAACGCCGACGGACTTGAGACATCATGCTCACACCAAGATCAAATTGGTTGTGCGCAAACCATTCCCCTAGCACGAGGCTGTTCAACCTATCCAGGCCCTTGAAGTGCTTCGGAAAACACATCCTTCGGAGCCCGGCGGTCACGGCGGTCAGCGCCAAGGCGAGTCGGGGAACTTCTACCAGACGGACGCCGTGGGCGACCGGCGCCATTGCCGTGGCATGGTGTAGAGGGAGCGGAGAGCAGGGAGAGGTAGAGTTGATAGACACAATCCTCCGATGGTGATCATGAAATTGTTGTTTGTTTTAGTAAAACAAATGTAAAGAACAGTATACTATACCAAGTGCAATACGATACCATAATACTTGCGCTCTCCAAAACCGAACACCGGACTGTCCAGTTGCAGACTTGGACTGGTCTGATCCGTTTTCATCGGCCCTACGCTTCGCCTGGGATGGGTGGACCATGGTGGACGCGAACGTCCGAACTTTCCCATCCACAGGTACGTGGGGGAGGTATAAGATCGCCTCAGCATCATTTGGATTGTGACCTATCACTTGCTTGACACCCCTACTACCCTGGTCCTCATGGTCCTCCAAATCTAATTGTTGGAACTTTGTGAGGAACTTCCACACACTTCTTACGGGGAACTTCCACGAAGCCTGAAGTTTCATTAAAGCAGTCCTCCAAACCAATGCTTTGTCAAGGAAACCACTTTCTCAGTGATCATCAGGGCGCACATACCTAAACCTCCGTGGAAAAGGACGTTGATGTACCAGGTGGGTGTCACGTTAGTTTGCTGAAAGGAGACATCGAGCCTCATCAAGCCTATGGATCCCAAAGAACCAGTAGGTGCAGTTGTTCTTGCACTTGCACTGTTTGGGTGCCGAGGATTTGATGAAGAGTGCTTTGTTGATGACTCCTTCGTATGCAACGCCAGCTGGCCGATTTGCCAAGTGCGGAAGCCAAGCCAGTCAAGCGAGCCAGTGCCGAGCGACCAGTGTATCATGTGATTCAAAGGGTGGTCTTGGTATTGGTTGGTGGTAGGAAGCTTGTTGGTTCGTTTGAAAGTCGATGATTCGCTTCGCTTGGAAATGATGCTGGTACGGAAAAGATGGGAAAAGTGATGTCCATTGCGACATGTTCTGCATGCTGGGAGCTAGGTTTGTCAAGCACCGCAGCTCGTTGGACTTCAGCTGAATGTTTGACGAAAAGAATTTCCAGGTCACTCAATGTTCGTCTTTTGGCGCCCAGTTGTGGGACTTAGTCGACTTAGTCGTCTTTGAGCTTGGTCGATTCTAATCACAAGGTTTGCTTTGCCTCGACGATCGCTTTAAGGTCTCTGTAGTGCCACCCGGCCGCCCGACAGCTCATTCCCGCTTCAGCCTCGACCCTTTCAAGGTGGCTGAAAGTTCGACAGCTTCAGCGGCCAAGTTGCAGATGTCGACATGCGGTGGTTTTGATACAGTGGGGTGGGAAGGAGGGAGAGGGCAGAACAACCTGGAAGGCTTAAAGACCAGACAATTTTAAAGTAGGCAAGCTTGAAAAGACACTATGTCTTCGTCAAACAGTTGATACTTGCAGTGGGTACCCGCTACATCTTATGCAGTTTACCGAACCAAAAGGTGGTCAGACAACTTGGTTCTTTTGTGTGACTCTTTTGGCTGAGGTGTGCTTGGTTTGGAGATTGGCTCGTGTTGTGTTGCCAAACAGCATCTTGCTTATATGTGCTACCTTAGCCTGAGAGTGCCGCCCTCAGAGTTCGTCGCGCTCTAACAAAGAACCATACAGAATAAAACAGCTAGATACTTGGGTTGGCGAAGCGATTCCACACTCAAAGACCTCCGCTGCGCCGCAGCCCGCAAAGTTGGTATTCACTGGAAGAACTTGTTTGGACGACCCTAAAGTCTGGTCATGTTGTGTCATTTTAAACATGTTTAGCCCGTTAAATCTATTCGATAGTGATTCACTTTATGTCAGTGCTGTTCTCTTCTTTAGAGGGTATTCCTTGTTTCCAATCCATTTTTTTTACCTTTTTTTGCAAGATGCTTGCGTTCAACACATCGCACCGACCCATCTTGAGAAGTACCTTGATGTTCAGCTTGGAGCAGTAGAACCGTGCCACGCGCAGATACCTACCAGCCAAGGCTGAAGCATCAACCACCACGGAGTCGACCCATGAGAATTCTACAGAGACCTCTGTGAGCGAAGCATCGTAACTGGGCAGCCATGCTTCGCGCAGAAAGCGCACCACTTTGTAAAGATATGGGTTTTCACCACCATGTTCGGACACACTGTGAAACCTCCCAGTTTGAGCCCTGCGTGATGTTGGGGAAAGATACGGTGATGGTATGGACCCACAGCCACCAGGAGAGCTTTTGAAGAAGATCTCCAGAGTAGGTTAATGCACGAACGCCCTCTCCCATTGCTTTCATTTGCAATGTATATGTATATATATATATATTTAGAATTACAGCAGGACAACTCAAGGTGGCACCTGTCACATGTACCGACACATCATGTATAATACCTCTACCCACTAAAGATGTGCCCCCTAAAGCATTTGCTATTTACGTTCACAGGGATTTAGTATTGTCAAACGGAACTGGGTCCAAGAACACCATTGTCTTGCAACATGTACACCTCCCCAGCACAATTAACCTGCAGGTCTTCTTTTAGGACTCACAGCTTTGTAGGTCAAAACCTTATGCCTCAAAAAAGGACAACACGACATCGAACCTGGGGGAAACCATTCCGATGTCCAATGTTTTTGGGTGCTCACAGTCTCTGCTTGAAAATAGCACATTCATAGAAGAAGCCAGCAACCTACTGTTGTTGGCAATTTGTTTGGGTGTGTCTTAAAGATTTGGTATGCCAACAGAGTGTCTGAGCCTGAATTTTGCTTGATCACTGTGATCTAATTTTGACGCTTGGCACGCTACTGTTCAAAGTCACCACACGGTTGCGAAGCACAAAGCGCGCACAGTTAAAGGTTAAATATACCAGCCGGTCAGTGGTCAAGAAATCTCATAGTCATAGTCCTTGAATGGAATGGATTTCTAACGAGAAACAATTGAGCTGGCATGATTCGGGTACCTTCCAAATCACTTGAAACCCAACGCTCGACCCACGGCTTACTGAGCGGCTTACTAACAGAGTTGCTATCATCTTTCCTGAACCCAAACATGTTGAAATTTGCCAACAAGAGGCAGGTGACCCCGGGCAAATGGAAATGAAACACATCATGTGAAACTTCGCAAAACAACCACATGTGAGATGATGTTGAACGCCTAGTAGCAGGTGCATCCCTACTAGTAATAAGTGCATTACTAGTAACAAGAAGCTACTAGTAGCGATTAGCGATGCACTTAGTTCCTAGTAGTTTGTCGTTCCTCTTTGCTCAAGACACATCGACCAAGCCGCGAAACCCTTCGTCCTCACCGAGGCACCTCCCCACCGGACCGCCGACGGACGGCCCGCAGACGGCCTCGCGGACGGTGGCATCCGAAATGGCCAAGGCGGTGGAAGCAGCTGCTGCCTGGATCGCGGATGAGTTGGTGGGGGGCATCACCAAAGTTCTGGTACGGAAGAAAGAAACACGTTCACCGGATTCGGAACACCTGGCAAATCGTTGGGTGCCCTTATGTGACCTTGCGATACCTTGCGTAGGAGTTCTTCCAACGCTTGAGACGTGGGTAATTCGCCCGAAACAGACCAGTCTGGAAAATCAGGTCACGGTCGCTCTTTGCGTGGGAAGCCACCGAAAGAATGTCACACATGAATGCACGAGCATGGACTCTGGTTGCCTCAGGCTGATGGATGTCCCAAGGGCCCAAGGGCATCATGTTGGCATTTGGGGCCTAGGCAATAGGCTCAAGTTTTGGCAAGATAACAGACATCAGGTCATCAGGATTCAAGAATGTGCTTCCAGGGTGCGAATGAGTGGATGACCATGTTTTCTTACTTTGGACCACGGGGTTGAGCCTTGAGCCTGTCCTTTTTCCAAGGCTCACGAATGCTTGGCTTCTGGTTCCACGGACCAAGACACTTGGAAGGGAGCTAATCAATCAGTTATGGATGGAAAAGTTGTGGCGGAGAGGGTAGTTTTCCAAGTTTCAAGGGAGGAGAAGCCCATGTTGCTTTGCCCTACGCATCGTGTTTTGAGGAAGTCTGGTGCAGAGGATGTTGTCTTGAGATGCCTCGAGGAATGAGGCATTCACTACTAACTCGTCGGATGTGGAGAACGTGGAGAACCACTGACCTGTCCTAGTGAGACATTTGTCCCCCTTGAGTGTTTTGTTCCGTGTGAGTTGCAGCACTGGCACGAATTGATACCTACATCAGTTGGTTCTTCACCTTTAAGCTTTTGGGGATTGGGTATACCTGCACAATATCAAGAAACAAGATGGAAAATGGCTAGCCGCCTCTATGTTCCAACATGGCCCACGATACCCAGGGGAGCTGGATTGGCCCTCAATCAATTCTTGCCGCTGCACAAGTCGAGCCACCAAAGAATCCGGTGAATGCAGTTCCTCGAAGTCGAAGACAATCAGCCTCTTCCACCATGCTGGTGACAAACCTCCCAGTTGCACCCCAAGATCAACATAGATCGACCACATTGACGACAAACCAATGAATTGTCACCACAATAAACCAATGTCTTCTGGCATCCGAAGTCTCCGTGCCGCGTCCTCGTTCTCTTCCTTGAGCCCCGAACCGAACCCGCGTCCGATCCCTACCGTCGGCCCGCTTGGCGCTCCGTGGCCGAGGCGCTGGTGCGGATCTTGAAACGCTCCGTGGCGCAGACGCCGCTCATGATTGCCTCCCCCGCGGAGCGCGCGCCGCTGGGGCCTTTTTCGGTGCCGCGGTGTCGGTGTCTCAGACCTTCTTTTGTATACACCCAGGAGAATATGGGTGTTGCGTTGAAACGAATTCTTTGGGGGCCAACAAAGAAGGGTTTTAGGATGAGATTCTCAAGCTTCGCATCGGCAGTGTCTCAGACCTCTAGAAGCTTCGGAAAGTACTCCGATGCAGTTCTAGGAAGTCCAATTCCACTGGCATCCCTTCATCACCCGAGTGAAACGAAGAAGAAAATATCCGGAGCAGGCAATCCGGGCATGGTGATCCAGCCATGTGGGCTGGGAGATTGCAAACAGTGTTGCTTTCATTGGCCATGGTCCTTATTTCACGTTGCTTTGAGTTGTTGACTTGAGATAGATGTTGGTAAAGCGTTCCCGAAAAAATCCACAGAGCAGATCTGATATCCATGTTATCAGCCCCACTCTCAGAAAAATGAAAACGTTCTCAGCAAATCGGACCTGTTGCATGTTGCACGAGATCTGTACTTTGTTTGAGCAGGATCATGTTTAACCAGTGTTAGCCCATCCAAGCAAGTCAGGCCATCAGATTCAATCAGATACAGACCGACCTGGTAGAGAAAGGCATGTTACATGTTTGTAAGAGGTGCACCACCCAAAGTTCATCCATCTGAAGCGAATCACTGACCGCCTCATCCCCTTCGAATGGACCTTGCTCTCCCAAGGCTGAAGAAGGCCTTGGACGTGGCGCTGCTGATGGGTTTCTCCGAGGATCAGCTGAAGCAAGCCTTCACCCGAGCAGGTGTCGCCCTGCCAAGCGGAATGGACATGTCACGAGAGACCGACCGGTCTGATGGTTGTTGGCTAGGCTGAAAGTTGGACGGATCTGATCATCTGATATGATTTGATGGTGTTTTTTACAGTTTTTGAATGTGATGCATCGCTGGCGTGGCTGGGTTTGGATCTGCTAGAAGGATCAAGAAGCTGCTCCTCTTTGGTACGGGTGCCAGCTCACCTTCTGTTGGGGTTTAGCTGACGGCAGACCGTCCTTAGCATACCTGTGCAGCATTCCGAATGTGTCAAAACATCCACACCAACAAGCGGACGGACACCTCAGACACGCCAGCGCAGGTGACGACGGCAACCCACTCTTTTGCGCGTCCCTTTGTTCGAAGAAGAAACCTGGATGTGCAGATCATGCGATTTCTATGACCATTTGTGGTCGTCATGGTCGTGCAAGTCCCTTAAGGATATTCCTTCGATGACACAGCTGTTAGTTATAGGAACTATGAAGTGGGTGCAGTTGTCCTAACCCTCTTCAATTACACGTGTTGCTTCAACATGTATTAATCAACTATTTGCTTCAGCACCTCATGAAAGCGGGAAGAGAGTGCTATCATTCTTCGACACATGCGGTGATAAGTCATGATTCCCAGGAGTTGCCTATTCTGTTCATGTTGGGAATGTGAACTACATATTGGGAATGTTCATGTTCCTGTGTTTTGACCGCGGAGCATATTTGGGAGTGCCCCCTTCCATTCTCGTTCTTTGTGTTGCCATCCACACTCGCCTCTCAGGAAAGTCTCTGCTTGTGATGGCTGCAGCCTGCAGCAGTGCGCCACTGGCGATTTCTATGTGGAAAACGCCCTGTGCGAAATGTCTGAGGATGAAGACACATGGCCCGTTTGGGCGCAAAAGATGGGTCAATGTCGGATTACACAACCCTCCTGTCCTATCACACTGGCCTCCAATAGCCAAAGATTCATGGCCATGCCTCAAACATGTCCTAGTGCCTCTGAAATAGGGCATGAGTCTGCATGAGGAAATACCCTAGAGGCAGGCAGGGAAGCCTGGCAAAGCCCGAACCCATCCAGTCTAGCTTTCAGAGCTCAAAGCACCTTGAGAACAGTCACAACGCATCTGCGAAATATAGACCACCTAGCCAAAGGCTTTCAAAGGAGCATCTACTTCATCACATCAGCCACCCTCACCAGCCCAGGATCGCTGTATCCAGGGCACCCGCTTCTCCTGCAACGTCTCCTGCGCGCACGAGCAAGTGGAAGCAGATGAAGAGAAGTTGGCACCGGATGTGTTGCTCGGAGGAGTGCGGAGGTTGGACCCCCAAAAAGCTCAGTTGGATAAAGCCAACCTGAAAAACAGTGCTGGTGAAGGGACAGCAAGGATCCAGTGGGGAAAACGCATCCTGTGGGAAGCATTTTGCAGTTGCTATTCCTGTTTGGCCCAGAAACGCCGCATATGCAGGTCACCTGTTGAAGCTGACGGGTAAATTGTGAGCTGCCAGGGCTGCTGTGGGTGTCCTCCAAACGGTTGTCCCGTTGGATATTATTTTAGCTATCGGATAGCTAAGTCGCCAAAAGCTATCCGATTTGTTTTTAATGATCATTCCGATTCCTATGCACAAAAATTAGTATTGTATTTGTTGTTTTGGCCAAGGCCTTTCCATGCCTAAACGATTCTTTCATATGGTAAGGCCAGGATCCCTTGCTATAAAGAAATCAAAAAGGGGTAGTGGCAAAGTCAAAGTCAAGAAAAATCAATTGGACAAGTAGAAAACAAGTCGAACAAAAAGGTCAACAAAAGTGTCAACATGTCAAAACAACTCAAGATTAACCAAAAAAAACAAACAAACCAAAAAAACAACTCAAGATTAAAAAACAAAAAAACAAACAAAAAGGGAGTAAAACAGTTTAAACAAAAGTCAAAATTAGAAAACATCTCAAAAAAAATAAGTCAAAAGAACAGGTCAAACAACAGTCAAAACAAGTTGGCAAAAAAATCAAAAACAAAATCAAAAAAAGGTCAGATCTGGGCCGATTAGGCCAATCGACTTTTTGTTTGACTCTTATTGAACTTTCTGAAACTTTCTGATTTGATTTTGTTTGACTTTGACTTTTGGCACCGACTACTATGTTGACTTTGTGACTTTGTTTTGACTTTTACAAAATTGAAAACAGTCTCTCTCCAATGAAAGAGTATCTAACGATCATATCCTGATGGGACCGACCAACGGTTCCTCACGGTGCGTCGCGGCGCGTACCCCAGGTTTTGCCGCTCGCTGTGTGCGAAGAAGGCGGTCCCTCGGCAGGTTGGCCATAGGCCCTCCGTCCTGGTCCTCGTGGGAAGAGACCGGGCGTCCGATCAAGCCGAAGATGGACGGCTTGTGGCCGACGTTGCAGGTAGCCTTCCACGGTCAATATGTCAATGGTTTTTAATAGTTAGGGGGATTAATGGATCCAGTGTTTTGAACCATGGTACCTTTAAAGATGAGCTCATGGAAACCTTCAACCAGGTCCTTTTATCTCATATGATAGATTTCCTACCATCAAAATACATCAAAATACCATCAACCATTAGCAGTGCAGTATAAACATCCAGGTCCAGGACTTCAAGGCCTACACAACCATGCCCAAAGTTAAGGCCCTCCCGGTACTTACGGCTGGTGACTGCTGGGTGAAGGGATGGGCTTCCTTTCTTGACCGGATGCAGACTGGCAGGGGCTTCTGGGCAGACCACCCCCAAAAAAGAACCCACGCTACACTCTGGGACGTCCTGGACGGCAGTTGCAGCGCACAGCGGTGTAGCCCAGGTGGTGCACTGCAGCGCCTTGTTGGATGAGGACTGCAAATCAGACCGGTGCCTGCGCTGCAAAAACGACGGATTCAAAGAGCCGAAGAGATCATCCCTACTTTTGGAATGTTTGTCTCCATTGGCTATGATATGCTAAGACTGTTGGGGATGATTGAAGACACCAACAGAAGAGTCCTACCTTATTGGGATGATTGGAGGTCCCGTTTTGGAGGACGGATGTTCCTTGTGGGGTGACTACAGCGGGGGGTGGGTGCTTTGGAAACATCGCCGTGCTCCTGTAATTGCAAGTAGTTAGAAGCTGCTAGGTGGAGGCCATCGCTATTAGGTTGGAGGCCATCGCTACTAGTAACAAGGGCATCGCTCCAGCAATTACAATCTAGCTCCGGCCACGGGTTTTGATGCGCTCCCTCTTACCCAAAGGAGTTCGAGTTCATCTTGGGGCCGACTGGAAGGAACGAAAGAAGACTATTCATCTATATCATTCAGTCTATCAAAAAAGATTTCTGGCGCAACTCAATGATCGCAAAGCTGAGCAATTTGATGGAATGTGCAATCATTCAGGTCGAGATTTGCCCCCTTCTCCACGTAGGCCTGCCCATATGTAGCAGCGGTTTCAAGTTTCAATCACAGATGCTTCCCGAAGCATGCCGAGGTTCTACACGGAGACCAGACAGGGCTTCGTACTGTGCGCATGGGATGAGGATGAACGCGCCTTGTCTCCACGGACCCCAGCAGGTGAGGCAAAATCCGCATAGGAAAAAGGAAAAAGGACATGGGTCATAGAGTGTCAGGGTCTCTGAAGACATTGGGCCTTGAGGACAGGTCAGTGGCTTCGCGCGTCGCACAACAAAACATGCAGCCCTAACCGACTGATGATCTACTCAGATTCTGATTCCTTGCAACAAACAAAGCGCAACTTTGTTTGTTGCAAGGATGCAACCATGCGACGAAGATCGATATCACATACATGCCTCAAGAGACAGAAGACGATGCAGCGATTTGTCAGCTGAAAATGACACCATGTTTTGCTGAGCCAAACTCTGTCACAGATGCCTGAACCTGAAAGAGAACTTGGGAGAAGTGGTTAAGTTTCTTGGCTCCAGGCCATGATGAGAAAAGTTGCGTCCCTTGCTCACAGTTTGCATGCTCAAATAAGGGGTACTGAGTACTGTAAGTGTTACCTTGAGGTCTATTCTCTTTTAATAGCCATGAGGCTTCCAAATTGGAGCAACACATGGAAAACATACAAAAGGAACATGCAAGCATGAAACTGAATTGAGATAAAGTGAGTACAGTAATTGGTTTTTATTGTTTTTTTCCACATGAAAAAAGACACTTGAAGGGGACTGTGAAGGCATGCCTCGAGTTCCTTAAATATCAATGCTCCTTCCATCCCTCCAGCGTTGTTCTCCGCTTGTTTTGTCATGGTCTGCTTTGGTGGGAAATATTGACTGACTGAGGATGGTTGTATGTCTTATGCAAGGTGAAGGAGCAACTGAGCAATTTCTAGTATGCAGAGCTTAGGGCACGAGGTGACTTTGCAATAAGGTCACATGATGTCGCATCTGGTTTTCTAAAGTGGACCGGATAATTTATATATATGTACACATTAATGTATTAAAATGTGTTAAATATGCCAGACTCCGGCTCCCTCAAAGTGCTTTTTGAGAATCATTCTTCAAGACACCCTCTATCGTTTGCTAAGGGGTATTTGCAAAACAAGATCTGGCATTATGTTTCACTGGGAATCATTTCACTGGGAATCGATGCCCTTGTTACTAGCAGCTTCTTGTTACTAGTAGCGATGGCCTCCACCTAGTAGCTTCTAGGTACTAGCGGCTTCTTGTTACATGTTTCCACAGAGTGCCCGTTGGAGTGGCCTTTCGTTTCTGACAGTTGAGGAAACTGCGGCATAGGCCGGCAAGTGCAGCCTTGTCGACAGCTCGACAGCTGTGAAACCACCTCAAGTTCTACTGAGGGCATCAGGACAGCGCGCTGGATTGGCGGGCGCGGGGGGTTTTGAACTGGAAAACTGATGGAAGGTCGTTGGGTGAAAACTAGCGATTGGATGCGATTGGTACTGAGAGCGGAAGACCATTGCGCAAGATCCCCAAACCAATGGATTTTGATCTATATGAATCTATGTGACCTTTTCTGGATGTTCGTGATTGATGGGATGTAAACAGGACTGAGGTATTCCGACCAGAACAAACAATTTGACCAGAGGCTTTGGGGTTTAGGATGGTTTAGGTAATGTTGTCTTCTGCAGCAGTTCAATGAAAACCTAAGGAAAAATAACATGAGTTTCCTCAAAACCAAGTGTTTGACGACAGGGTTTTACGGGATTCCGATGGGGTCTAAGTGGTATGAAATGGGTGATATGGGTGTTTGTACTTCTGCTAGGTGAAATGGGTGATAGCTAGGTGATTTGCGTTACTTTCCCATTGCTGCTCGGACCAGAGGGCAGCGCAACTTCCATGAAAGCTGCCATGATGGAAGCGTAGGTAGATCCAAACCGTGAAAATTTCATGATGTATTTGAATCTCTCGAAGGGAGTCTTGGTTCACCGCGATCACCATGACGCACGAACTGAGAGTGTTTCGAGCGGAAATCGGAAATGGATGAGCTTCATGAATCCTTTGAATGCCAAGAAGAGACACATCTCAGGAGGAATCCCACAGTGAATCAACCTACCATGACACTCTAAGAATGGACACATCGACACCTCCTGAATCTTCCACCATCCTGTGATCTCGCGGCACGCGGCAGGAATTCAACCACCCCAACCACGACCGCCGCCAAGACAATCAGCAGCGATGCTAGGCGTAAAAAAAACCGTTTGCTGTGTGTCGTGTATCAAGGATCTACTAAGAGTCCTGGGCAGTGGTTCCAATGAAAGCTTCCTAACAAGAAACTCTTTAGAAGGAAGCTTCCTTTGGAATCGTTTCACAGTATCAGGGATTCCCCAACTTTGCGAATCAGGATGGACTGTCCTCTTCATGGACTGCCATTAATCTTGAATGTGACACTCCAAAAAGTCATAGTAATGCCCTTGTTACCTACTAGTTTCTTGCTGCTAGTCGTAATTCCCATAGCTACTCGTAGCGATGCCCTTTTCTCGAGTCGCGCCCAGGACTCCAATGCACGCTTGGGCGACTTCGCCTCCGCCCAGGCTCGGGAAGACACGGCCACTCAGCCGGACCTATTTGCAGAGAACTCGTGTGCAAGGGGACGGCAGCCTATCATGGGACCGTTTGGTAAGATTCGATCTCTAGTGGCGGAAGTGGTGGACTGCAACAACTCAATACCTTTCCTCCTGGCAGTGGCTTGCCACAACTTGGTTGGTCCCCAATGCAGGAACAAGATGCAGCGAGAAAATGGAACAGCAATTCACGGAAAGCAAGAAACTGAGGGCCTCATGGCCGAATGAAAAAGGTAAAGCTGTTTACAGTAAGGAAAATTACTAGTCATAACGAATTTGGAAGTGGGGTGGTGTCGTCAAGACAAAGGGACAAATCGTTTCTTCCGTTTTCACCGTGCTGGTAAGGGTGTTCTGCAACCAGCGTTGGGGGCGGCATGATGCCACCGACCTGGGAAGGCCGAGAAGAAATGCCCGGCTCCACAGAGAAGCCCGAAGCATTGGCACAAAATGAGGTAAATCAATGACTTCTTTTGGAGCTAGCATCTGGAAGTATACGATTTGTTTGTACTATCATCCCGTCCAAGCGAAGGAAAGACATGATACACAAGGGGGTTGTTCTTAGCTAAGCATACGCCGCGGCTCCCCACTCTTAGTCGAAGGAATGAGTGTCGGGGTCACGGATACATCTGCGACTTTCATTTCACCGCCAGATGCGCCTGGCCCACGGCGGCTGCCCCACGGAGGATTGCCAGGAGGAGAGCGCCGATGCATGAGCATTGCGACGGGAAGTGTCGACCTGTTTACAGTGTCGGCTGTATACCAAGTAAACCTCCTCGCTTTGATTGGTGTTGCTAGCCTTTTGTGGGGGTTCCTTTGTGTTCTATCGTGTCTTGCACAAGTCGGATACAGTTTCACTGTGATCGTCCGACACGAGTGATAGTATACCATTGTAAACCCGTTGTCAAAGAAGCTCGATGATTCAGATCATACGACACAGTTGTACCAGCTATTTTGAAACCTTTGCTACTAGTAACAAGAAGCTACTAGGGGCTCCGGCCCTTACTAGGAGCAAGGACGCTACTAGGGGCTCCTGGCCGTACCACTAGGAACAAGAAGCTACTAGGAACAAAGGGCATCGCTACTAGGAGCAAGGACGCTACTACACAGTTGTACCAGAAGGCTCAACAGTTCGGTGAGTAGCGTTCGGCGTGTCCCTACCTGTGTTTGTTTTAAGCGTTTTCAAGGTGCTTTACCAAATATGTTTTTGGCTGGTGGGCTTTGACTTGGAATTAGCAACACATAGCAACACGATATCAATCCAATTCTTTGTGGTGGGTTGAAATCACCAAGCAGGTCTATATTCCGTGCAAAAAAATAGAAAACTGGAGAAGATTATCATGTGTCCAAACAGTTATTGGTCGGGTTTCCTCTGCAAACTGTTGTCGGAATGGGTGTTTGGTATTCCTGCCAGCTTTTGTTTTTCTTCCTGAAACTGCTTTGGAATAAACCTGAAAGAGTGACTGTGTGTTCAACAAAGACTGGGTGTTGGGAAGATGCTTCTTCTTTGTCAAAGGACTTGTCTTGTATGTGTGTTTGCCTGAGTGTATTAGTTGTGCCTTCAGGTACATGGGGAAATCCACCTGCAGGGAAGGTGCTGAGGCGGAGTATGGCGTAGTGAACTTGTGTCGATAGGCTTTGCACAATAGCACGTATATAGTGTGTACTGCTCAGCTAGCTTAGCTGTGAGAGGGGGGGCCTCAAAATTCCGCGGCCCTAAAAGGTCGCCTCGAACCGACAGTGCTTGACGGGTTGCTTGTTTCTTTTTCACAAGTAAATAAAATCGGCTCCGTTGGATGGTTCGGAGCACCATCTTGGAACATGGCCCCCATCGTATTATTTTGGTGTGGGTGGCGGTTGGCAAGTGTGGACGAGGAGGTCAACAGCGCGAAGTGTGACAGCAGCGAATGGAAGCTGAGCCTGGGATTCAAATCGGTATCAAAGCGCTCGGAGTCGCGTTCCATGGAGGTGAAAAGGCCTTCTAGATAGAAACGGTTTCTCGAAGACGATCCTTTGAAGGGGGAGTTGTGCCATCTACTATTAAGTAAATCAGAGTCTATCTCAAATGGTCTTCGTATTGTTTTGGTCCAAGCTCCGAGTGAGTCGCTGGGGATATTTTCGAGTCGCTTCTCGGCGGAGAAAAGGGTCAGTGGAGATGTTCCGACATCTGTGAACCATCCTGTGGGCTTCGCCAGTATGAAGGGCTTGCCATGGCTTGGTGGTGAATCACATCCACACCGATTCCCGGCGAATGAAACTAGGGATTCCCGGCCATAGCTCCAATTAGCAATAAACAGGACCTGAGACGTGGCCAGGTTTGCCGCTTGGCTGGCTTTGACCGGGGACCTGATCCCCAACACGACTCACCAAATTGTCGGAGCACGGCTCAAAAGATGAGGGATACTAACTAGTCACGAGTTGCATCGCTACTAGGAGCATTCTTACTACTAGTAACAAGAAGCTATTAGGGGCTCCTGGCCTTACTACTAGGAGCAAGGATGCTACTAGTAACAAGTGCATCGCTACTAGGAACAAGTGCCTTACTACTAGTAACAAGAAGCTATTAGTAACAAGTGCCTTACTACTAGGAGCAAGGATGTTGGATTTCTCATGTGTGATTTGCTGGAGGAAGGTCCCATGTTTACAGGTCTATGCAGACAGAGAAACACCTGGGCCCGGCTAAGGACTGGCAAGTGCCGATGCCATTGCAAGAAGTACCGGCCAAATATTGTGATGTCTCTCGCCACTTCATAGGTCGCAAGGTTGTGGGCGTGGCTAATTAATTGGGCAGTGTTCGTGCTTGGATGGATCAGGGCTTCGTTCCCCAAAAAATTATCCCATGTCTTCTAGAGAGACCCTTCACTTTCATCATTGTGTTGTGTACTCCCCAATAGATCGATGCTTACGACTAAGCGATGCACATCAAGTGATTTAACCTGGCTTCGGCTCAAGAATTGGGTACCCCCCCGTCACCAAACCCTCCGCCAAAGGAAAATACACCCATTGGTCGTCGCTGAGTCATACATTTCCCCCTTTGACCGTGTTATACATCCGGACACTCCAGTTCATCGCTTGCGACCCTCCACTTGTTCAACGCTTGGAACATGACATGAGTCCAGGGAGACCATGGTCCAGTGAGAGACCAAAAGTGAGCGGCCTAAATGATCAGAGGCGTCAATCATTGGATGGTTCTGAGTTCTCAGACCAGAACCTGGTCTGGCTGATCTACGGTCTGACTGTATTTCTCACGTTGGAATGGGATGTGAGAAATTGATGTTCGTTGTCGTTCGGTTCTCCAGAGAAAACTCCCAACTTCCTGAGTTCCAGATGTGCGGAAACGGGTTTCTGTGCGGGTCAGGTCCCAAAAGGAGTTGAAAGCGATGCATCTTGTTCTCAGGTCCATCAGTGATAAGAGGAAGTCAACATGTTCCAAAGGGAGACTTCGAGTGGCCAATCTGTGCCATCCCCAGGATCTTGGCCAACAGCATGGGCTTCAACGATTTCTTCGACTCCACGGATCTCACAGCTTCTGCGCCCGGGCTCCCCGGGCCAAAAGGTGACGCCGGGCCGATCATGATCTACACGCAGGTGAAACATGTGTTTAGCTATTGCTGAGCAGGCCTTCTGGAACTCCCAAGGCTGAAACATCAGCCATACAAAACTGTTTTCAAGATCAGGGTCAGCTTTCGCGGTGTGTACCAGGTACCACATGCTTTGCATGGTGGTTGTTTTCACGGCACGGCCAGCGGTACGGCCAATGGAACGCCACACGCTGAGTGGTGTCCTTCATTCCCGCTCAGACAGTTCAGCAGTGTGTGAAAGCCCAAGCATTGTTCATGCAGTGTGTACATGTGGCAATCCCCAAGAACATGACCTTTTCAATAGATCCTTCATGACCTGAGACTTGCCTAGATTCCAAAGCGCCAAAGCGTTTGCACCCCTGGACAATGGCAAACACCAAGCGACCCCCCGCTCCTGGACACCATGAACTAAGCTTTTGGGTCCGAGAACTGCTCGAATCGGTGGGCAAGTCCGGGCGGGTTTTGCGACTCACAGAGACCCATGAACACCATGAACAGAATGACTCGAACGACCGGTGTTTTTGGTGGGTGCGACCGGTACCGTGTGTTGGGTGACGTGTCGTTCTTTCGGTACCTCGGCAAATGAAGGGCATGAACGACAAGGAACTGGAGGGAACAAGGGGTCTCCTTCAAAGAGCAGGATGTCCTTGAAGTTAGTCAGTAGTGGTGCATGAGGATATTCAATCATGAGAAACAGCTCTTTCGAAAAACGGTGCTCCGCGTTCTGTGTCAAGTGTTGGTTGCATTTTGTTGCTGTCTTCTTTCAGTCCTGGTTCTGGCTCCCCTCTCTTAAGTAGTTCAGAGCTGGCTAGGTAGTTGAAAAAGGTGATATGCACAACAGTTCTTTCAAACTGGCTCCAGTAAATTATGGTGTGGCCTGTCATGTCAGGTTCAGGTCCTGTACCCTTTATCAGGACAACAGATGCTTGGACAAAGCATTGCAATAGTCGTCCCTCAGCCTCCTTATTGGATGTTGCAGAGTGTCTACTCAAAATTTGGGAAATGATACCAACGTTTGGGGCCTGGGGCCTCCTATTTGGTTCTACGTGACAGGCGGTCCGCTTCTGAGGTGGCCCTACGTGACCTCCATCCTGCTTGGCGCCCAGGTGGATAAACAGCGTTCACCCCATCGGTGCGCGTCGCGAACGGAGCGTGAAGGACGCGACGTTACGAACGGAGCAGTTCGGGCATCGCTACGATTTCTTGGAATGGATTTTTAAACAAGTGTCCCCCAACGGGAACGCAGTGCATTCGATGTTTGTGGAGGAATCCTGAAGTCACCACAACACGCGGTTGCTTCAATTTGGAGTGCACAGGTTACCAACCATCTTCGCTTCCTGGGGACCCACTCCAGTTTGGCCCAAAGTGCAGCATCCGGGGTGTTTCACCCATTGCCCCCTCCTGCCCTCCTTCATTCCTTGTTTCATCCATTGCCCCGTCGTGCCCCCCCTCATTTCCCCCTTGTGTTTCATCCATTGCCGCCTCGTGCCCGCTTTATTCCCCACGTGTGTTTCATCGAATACATCCATTCAATCAGAAACTGAAAGAGCTGGCTGGAAGTCTGGAAGCAGCTCTGAGCAGCTCCGTGTTATGCCGGTGGGATACAGCAGGAAAACAGCTTTGGACTCCATGCATTCGTAATGATGTGCAGATGAGGTGTGATGTGCTTCTGTGTGCAAGTGGAGGCAAAAGCTCGCAGCCAAAGTCGCTGTGCAATATGTTGCAATCATTTTTGGAACTGTGCCTTCCCTTGCAATCAAACGCCCCCAACGAACAAGTTGCTGATGAATAGGTTTGCTTCGGATGAGATGTTGATCCAGGATTGATTTGTCGAGCGCATTCTGCAAACCTTCAATGACTTGTTTCGAGATGAATATCGGATTCAATCTTATATAGTTAGTTTTCTTTAACCCTTAACAGTTGACTGTTCCCTTTGCAGGAACCAGTTCTGTGTCGGCCATTTCGATCTTCGAGGCTGCGAGGCTTTGAGGTCCAGTTTCCACGTCCGCCCAACTGTTCAAGCATCCTCAGTGATTATGACGAGGAGGAGGAGGATGATGATGCCATCAAGACGTTTTCTGTGATGTTTTTTCTCCACCGTGTCGCACCCGCCAAGCATACAACGGTTAAAGGAAGGTTTGGGGAAAACTCTTCCTGGCAGACCGCGTGCAGGTCTCAAGACAGTTGTTGTGCACACTTTTAGGAAGTGTCCAGTGTATCAAAGCACCCTTGTTTGACAGTGCTGCGCACCTTTCTAAAATTTGTTGGAATTATGTTGTTCGGGCATGGTGACTCTGCTTCACACACGGTTTTCTCAGTTTGCTTAAAATATCTTAAAATATATATGTTGTCCCGGCATGCCGTTTAGCAAAAGCTCGTTCTCAATGCATTGGACAACTTTCTTTGTCAGGGAAGTTCTTTGTAGCCGGGTGAAACGCTGCCAAAAGAGCACCGGTTTCCCTGTCATAAAGCATGGGACAAGACAACGGACCTGCACTCTGCTGGCAAGGCCGTTCTTCCGTTCTTGTAGAGTTACCAACGGGAACCAACACAACGAAAGGCAGACCTCCAGACGGGTATACAGTGTTTACAGTGTGCGCGGGAGGGCTCACAGGCGATTTACACTGTTCTCCAAAGAAGCTTCCGAAGGCACATCAGAGGAAAGATGATGCTTCCTGCCCAGCAACTGATGACGTGACCTCTTTGCTGCGAAATGATTTCCACAACATTTGATGTGTTTTCTGTACAATACCTAAGTTGGCTAATCAGCTAATCTTAGTTTCAAGAAGAAATGGAAGGGACGGGTTGTCGTCAAAAATTGTGGCGTTAAAGTTTGTGGGACTTGGTAGACATTAATGTTGGGCACTCGGTAGATATGTTTGATTGGATTGTTTGCCAGAGGGACCCACAAGTCTTCAAGTGATAAAGTGAGACTTTCAGTTATTATGCAGTGTAAGGACCACCAGAAGGACCGAATGGGATTTAGTCCCATCCGTCCGACTCGCACACTGAAGGCCTGAGTCGATTCGCCTCAACAGTTCCTATGCCGCTTGGCCTGACTGCCGTTGCTCTGACGGAGAGGTGGACTGCCTGGATATCTAATGCATCCTCAAATAAGTATTACGGCCAGGAGCCCCTAGTAGCGTCCTTGCTCCTAGTAGCGATGCTAGGAGCCCAGACTGTAGCTTCTTGTTCCTAATGCATCCTCAAATAGGTTTAAGTCAGCACACTCGCAGGTGCTTTGTTTTGCATCCTTGGAGACGATCAGGTTGTGGGAATGACGCCAATGACCACACGGATGCAATCTTAAAATCAACCCTGTCGCAATAAACGTTTCCTTCTTTCACTAAATGGGTGTGTATCTTACCAGGGGGACCTACCAACCAATGGATTTAGTCGGTGTTTGATTTGTCCCAGAAATCTTTTGGGGGCCCCAAAAAGCGACTGCTTTGCGGAACTTCTCGCCGCCCCAAGGCAGAAGTAGCCAGCGCCCCCTCGAGGGCCTCCTTCCTCACAGGCGCAGAAATCGCTCCAGTGAGGGTTTGTTCACCACACAAAGTCTGGGAAATCGGAGCTACTAGGAACAAAGGGCATCGCTAATTAGGAGCAAGAAGCTACTAGTAGCTCCCTGGCATTACTACTATAGTAGCAAGGACACCATGAGTAGCTCCTGCTTATATATATATATGGCAACAAGTTTACAGTTTGTTTGTTATTGTTTAATTCTTTTCCTCTACGAGAGAAACCCTTGGTACTGTGTTTGGAAAGCCTTTGTGTAGGCCGTTAGCCACATCGCTTTAGTTTCGTTGGTGGGATCGGGAAGAAGGGAGCAGGCCAGCTGGAACGACCCGGAACCCCCCCTGTAGAAAGGAACATATACCAAACAATACTGAACTACTAAGCCCGATAGGTTGCGAGATCCCTGTGTTGAGACACGTCTAAAACAATAATGTTCAGCAAAGTAGTGTTGAAGCTTGCTTTTGGATAACATCAATTTTGATGTCAAGAGGTTTCTGCCCCTTTCACCAAGTAGTCCCAGCTTGAACTGCTCCAGCTCTTTCGAGGATCAGAACTAAAATTGGTGCAAGGACGCTACTAGGAGCAAGAACACTATTAGGGGCTCCTGAGCTTACTACTAGCAACAAGAAGCACTCCGCAGTGGCTATTTGCTAGTACTAATCCGCACTCCGCAGGCCGGTGGCAGCAACACCTGCTGCCCGCAGAGACTCCGTCACTGAGTGTCGAGCAGGCATTTGGATCCAAGGCCGGAAGGAGGAAAAACGCAGCGGGCCCACTGAAAGTTTTGTTGTCCTTTAAAACAGAAAAACACTAGCACCGGACCGATGGTGGCACTACCTCCTAGGTCGGATGGAATTTCAAACTCTGAAGGTGAGTCTGAAGTCTTTGCACTCATCCACATCGACTCTGACCACAGCGCAGTGGTCCCGCTATCGTTGACGACCGCTTCCAGGGCTGGTCCCCGCTGGGCGTCTCCCACCACCGGCAGTTGGGTTCCACTGCTGGCGCTTTCTCGCAGGCCCGATGTTTGGACAAGAAAGAGTCAGAAAGAAGAGGAGCAAAGAAGAGACGAAGGACGAGATGACGAGACACATGGAGCAGTTCTTCTCGGTAGCAACAGGTCTTCAATGCCGTTGTTTAACTTTAAACTTAATTCTAATAGCGAACTTTGTTACTACTAGTAAGGCACCTGTTACTACTAGCGTGGCACTTGTTACTACTAGCTCCTTGTTTTACGGCCTTCCAGACATGTTTGACTTCCCTTCGGGACATGTTGTGGAAGACGAGAGGGTCGATGTTTTGACGTCGGTGGTCACGCACGGGGCCATCATATACTGTACCGGTACCGTGCAGGGATGTCATGTCAATGTTGCTCAACATGGTGTGGCTTTTGGACCAGGAGTGCGAAACGGATTTCTTCACAAAAAACACAGCCTGTGAGCTCCATGGAACTCCAAGATGGCTTGAGCCACAACCCATTGGCAAATTGGCAATGGGCAGGGAGCCGAGCGCACGGTGGCGCAGAAGCTCAATGCTGCGGGATACAAGTTGTGACCTCAGAGTCGTTCAGTCATAAGATTTCTGCCGGGTGTCGTTTATGCTCATGCCAAAGTGATCAAGGGGTGTTCAGTTGTTTGGTGTCGCTCCCAAATTGAGCAATTAAACGTTGGAGTTCTCATCAACCCAAGAAAGTATCAAACGTTGGAGTTCTCCAGGCCTTGGCTTTCAAACGGCGATTTGTATGTAATGTGTTGGGTGGATGCTTTGACTTTAGGTCTTGAGGCAATCACCAAATTGGGAATCCACCGAAATAGATGCTATGGTCCCTATGGTCCCTATGGTTTATGTGGACTAAGACGCCACTGGTGAGAGACGAGAGGGACTGCCCTCCAACAGACAAAGAGTGTTCCTTCCATTCGCAGCTTGGACTAAGAGGCTAAATGTTTGGGGGTTGGATGGTGGTTTTATTGCTAGGAACAAGGACGCTACTAGGGGCTCCTGGCCTTACTACTAGGAACAAGAACGCTTCGTTTTGGTTCACCTATTTGTGGTATCCCCGCATCCCCGGGAATGTACGGGCTCCAGAGAAGCCGCCACTCATGAGACCAACCATGGGCAGAGCCCACAGGTCTTGATAAAACCGCTTGAGAACTCACGTCTCACGACTGCCTGTAAGAAAAAATACGAAGTCAAGTCAGTAAGAAGGCAAGGCCCCTTTAATATCCAAGGGGCCCTTGCTTTATTGTTTCCTTCCCTTTTGGAATGGTTTGCTTGCCTCATCACCGTTCGGCAAAGCGCCGCCCTGAGGAGTTATGCCATTGGGTGGGGTCCTCAGGAGACATCTTCACGTTGGGGGTGGGAGGCAGAGACAAGCCCCGGGTTTCTTCGTTTTGTTCTTTGCTCGTTTTCTTCTCTTCTTCTTTTTCCTATCCTCCTTCTTCTTCTCCTTCTCCTTCTTCTTCTTCTTCTTCTTCTTTGTGTTTCATTGTGTTTACTCTAAGATTTGCCCGCATCCTGAAACTCCTGAAAACCCTCTATCACAGTACCTTCGTGACCATCCGGTGTGCCAGAAGATCATCGCTAAAATTCAAAGTGTCCACTCTTGGGATTCTATTTGTGTTCGGGGTCGCAAACGTTTAGCCACTGGCATTTGTTGAAGTTGTCGTTCGAGCTGGCAATCTGCAGAATTCCTTGGCAGCGTTTCCAGAAACGCAAGCTAACGATAGTTTTGATTGATGCAGTTTAAGCTTAACATACTCAACATACTATGAATGATACTTTGCCATGTTGTTTCCATGTTGGATAGCACGGGTTTAAATGATGCATTCAATGTTTGTAATCACGTGTTGCCATGGACACAACCAAGTGCGTTTCACTGAAGGGCCGTCAGTAACTTGCAAATAGATGCAAATTGATGATTGCAAGTGGTGAACAGTTTGAAACCACATTTACACGTGGCAAAATGACATTCAAGGACTTTCTGGGACTTCTTGAAACCTGCATTTGCAGGGTGGGCTATGCAAAAGATGCGACAAAGTGAGACTTTCACTGATCCCTGTAGTGTTGAGAACAAGAACAGACAAAAGGTGTCCTCAAGTATTCTCCACAAGTTTATGCCAAGATGTGGAAGTTCATCAGACAGCCAAATTCCAGTGGTTCTTGCAATGGTAATGGTATTGGTACCTGGTATCTGAGGTGGTGGAGGAAAATCGTCCATCAGAAGTACATTGGAGTTAATCAACCAAGATAACGATAGCCAGTCAAACACTTTATTAAGCTGGGACCTAATCATGAGGCTTTCATCCGTGGTCAAACAACAGTAGTTTGCCAGGGCAGCTCAATGATTTGGCAGCTGAACGATATCAGGATGAACCTGTCGTATGGGCAGCACATGTCAGACAAGGTTACCATGACATGGTGCACTGCAGTGTACATATGATTGACTCATAATTACAGAAAGTAATGTGTGCCTTCACAGATGAAGCGACAACAATACTCGCTGTATGTCAGAATGACACGCCTGCGGCGCTACTTCTTTCACTCAAGAAGCATTCTGGTCCGGTCGGTCGGTCGCTGCTGTTGCGTTCGTTGACCCGTTCGTATTTTGGAGGTTGATTTCTTCAATCAGACTTAGCTTTAAGACTACACACAACACTGTTGTGGTGACTTCAATCTAAAGCACGGCGGCTCAGCGGTTTTGGTGAATACCTTGAAGCATGGAGAGGTGTTGGAGATACGAGTTCACTCCCATTTCAACAGGGCCCCGCAGAAGATATATAGTCGAGGCTAGCACGCTAACCCAACTGCCTGCGGCAAGTGAACGCAACAGAAGTCAGTCATTTGATTTATTTACAAAAGCTCATCCAAAAGCAGAATTGTATATTCTATACATATATATACATATATATGTGATATTTTACTACATAAATATTAATCAATAGGTGAATACCCACCGGGCGCTTCCAATGTCGACATGGTCATCCACCAGTACGGTGGTGAAGGGGTGTCTACGAGATACAAACCCGACTCCACGGCGTGTCCAGACCATTGAGGAAGTGGCAAGCTGGCGGTGTGCTCGGACCCCGGTGCTCTGTGACCCGAAATTCTGAGTTGGGTGGGCTTGATTCCAAGTGAACTGGTCCATATCCTGTGATTCAGACAGAGGAGAACATCCGAAAAGACGACACATGGTATTTGGGCTCGGCCTTCGGCATTGACCTTCCGCCGCCGCCGTCGTGCCGAGAAGCCACTGCACAGAGATGTCTTCGAAATCCCGATTCGTTCTGCAACAGTCTACAACATGTTGAACAAAAATATTGCAATTGTTGATAGCTTTGGACCTCCAAATGTTGTATGACTTTTCTGGACTTCCGAAGGTGGAAGAACTCGAAATTAGTCCAAGGAGTCCAAGAATATGTTTCAGAGGAGCAGTCAGCAAGTTGCTCGTTTTACTAGCTTTGCAAAGGTGGCTCCCCAAAGAAAGTATTTGATTTGATGGCTTCAATTCCAGAAACCTTATATCCGAGCTGCAAAGTTTCCACACTGTGTCTCCGTTGACAGGAAAAGAAGTGCACATAGGAAGAAACGATGTCCAACGGATGTTGAAAGGGCGTACTTTGGACGTTATCTTATATCTCAGCAGGAATCACACCACACGGACTTTTGTTGAGAGGTCGTTGGGGAAGATATTTTGTTCTTTCACCATGGAGTCGCCCTATATAACCGAGCCACACAAAAACAGCAATGGGTATCTCAGTGGGTGACTGATCCTTTGGACGGTAGGTATATAGGAATCACAGGGATCCTTTGGACGGTAGCCCTATCAACATTTATATCAGCCAGCAGGTCTGTTTGATGTCCAATTGATTGTACTCCCTGCCAAATTCTTGCAGCATCACCAGGTCTTGGAATATGACGCCTAGTGGGAGAGGATTTGCGAGGTGGGATTCCAATTTTGCATTTGGCTCTCCAGCGGAAATTTCAATTCTGCCCCTTAGAAAAGTCTCAGAGTGTTCATTTCTTTGGTCTTTCCCACTATTGAATTGATCGTCTTCTTTACATAGGCCTTTTGGTCTTTCTAGCTTTATGTTTTTTCTTTGTTTCTTTAGAGCTGTCTTTTACAGAGAACATACCAATTGTTGAGTGGGAAAGCAACCCACGGGTTGCGGGGCACCCAGCAGGTTCTTTGGCAGCTACGATGATGCCTCGGACTACGTGAATCATTGCTTCTCGGCATTCTGCAGGGGAGGCACTCGGAGGCACCAAGCCTACTCGAGAGCCTCCGAATCCGCAGGAGAGAAGAAGCAAGTGTGTTTTTGTCTTTCTTTGTTATCCGTTTTTCATTCTGAAAGTTTTGCGAACAACTGCTGTCCAACAGAATCCATTGTGGGGGCTGCGCAAATGTTCAAGTAATTGAGATGGAAAAGCGGAGTGCGGTCGTTATGTTTATCAGCTTGTCAGCTTGCCTTGCGAAGCAACTCTCACAGCCCTGCAAAGCCACAGGTGGGTCACCAAAGATTGAAAATAGAGGTTACAGGAGATCAGGTTGGGAGGGCTTCAGTTCTTTTTCTAGGTTTTGTTATTTTGTAGGAGGTGTGATAAGTTCTCCATCCCATTGTACGGGCTTTGGGCACTCAGTGTTAAGTGCTACTGTATACCTTCCATTCTGTGAACTGCACTGTGAATGCGATTCTCATCTACCAGGGAGATGCATGTGTCCATCGTTTCTCACTTCCAAAAAAGAAAAAAAAACATAGCAAATCAACGCAACTTCATAGGAACTTCCCAAGACATGGCTCTTGAGGTGTTCCACCATCCCACGAGTCAGGGGCCCTTATCGCCCTTATCTTGAGGCGACGTCAATGGCCATTACGACCTGCATTACGAGGCGCAAAAATCATGGCCGTGGGGATCGGGTCCACAATGGTTTTCGTGGGGTCGTTTTTTGAGGTGAGTGAGGTGCGGGAAATCCCAAGAAGACTCACCGTAGACAGTGAACATGTTCGGGTTGCTTCGAAACAAACCTAAAAGTCAAGTGTTCAACGAAAATCTTCCTGAAAAACGGCTAGGTTGTTGTTCCTTCCCGAAAAATATGGAACTTTCCTCGACCTTCCAAAACCGCACCCAGCGTGCGCCATGTTTAACGGAGTTGGCCTTCAGCTGGTTGCGACATGTGGCGCCCACGGTTCTACCAATGTCATTCGGCTGTGCCGGCAACATGAGGTCTTAACTGGGAGCTATGGGAAAACCAGGCAGGTCAAAGAGCTGTTCCACAAAGAAAAAACAATGACAAAGATTGAGCACGCAGGAGCGGCGTATTAGCCGTCACTTGCAGCCGCTTGCAGCCACTTGCTGCTGCGGTCACTTGCAGCCGCTCAAGCAGTCACGTGATGTGACACTGCTGTATAGAAACAAGAGAGCCCTCGAAGACCTTGATGGGACCGGGCAAAATGAACAACCGATGCAGATGTTCCCACTTAAAGCCCTCCCAATAGCTACAAACTTGGAACCCTGAACGGAAAGCCATGGAAAATACTGGTAGTTTGAATTCCTTTTTCAACATTCGCACGCTTGTTCCTTTGTTCCTTTTCGCCACTTTGTGAGCTATCCGCAGAAACCGCAGCTCGACCCCAGGAGACAGAACCCTTCGAAGCCAACTCCACCTGGCAGTTCACCAGGTGAGAGAGACACCGACGGTGTGTGGACCGGATCTGGTGACACCGACGGTTCTTCGGTGTGTTTTGTGATGACTGAAACGATCCAAAATAAAAACTGACCGACTGACCCCGTGGTCTAGAACCAAACCATGTTATGTGTCTGTTCTTTTAAACAAGATTTCTTGGTCCTCCGCATTTGCTTTATTGATGTTGCACCACCTGATCGCCTGCATCTCCCGCTTGAAGCACCTCAGCTACGCGTACAGACCACTAGCCACTAGCATAACCTCCAGCAGAGCCGGTGGGCAGTATGGAAATGTCATGAAATGTCAATGTGGATCCAGAAATGTTCACTTCGGATAAACATAGATAAACTATGATAAACTAAGTTTCTCATGTTATCTACAAGCGTTGTGTGTGTTCTCGGGTGATGGAAGGTCACATAGAAATGTGTCACATCAACGTGCCACCATGTCAGCGTATCGGCGTGACGGTTCGTGACAACACCTCATCATGTCAGCATGGCAACTTGTTATCAGCAAAACAGCGTGGACATGCTGGAATGTTGACATAACAGCGCACACCATACGAGCATGATAGGATGACAGTTGACATGTTAGCAGTTTCGTTGTGCCATGACATGCCATGACAATGTCAGCGTGTCAGCATAACAGCATGTCAGCATATCTGGAAAATTGCTGCCTTGCTCCACAACCTGCTCCTGATCCGGAAATCCGAAACCTGTGAAGTCTTTTTACATGCCAAAAACCCTTAAGCTTCGCTGCGTTAAGAAAGTAAGCCTTGCTCTTTGATCTCTCCAAGTCCTCACTTTTCAATGTTTGGAAGTTGTTTGGAAGTCTAGTCGATACCTGTCTCTGGAAAAAATATACTGTACCTTCTTTTTTATCCCTTTGTGGACTTTTAAATACTTGTCTCTACTGCGTCTACCAACCGGACACCTAGCATCAACAATGCCACGTAGAGCGCGTCTGAAAACTGTCCAATGACCATCGCTTTGCCAGACCACTGTTTTGCCCCCGTGAGTGCATTCCTATTGACAGGGTCACGCACACACTCACTGCAACCTTTCTTGTATCTCAGACTATTCTCTTCGATTTCTCCTTTGATCACTTGGCCTGTTAGGGTTTGAAAAACTGGATTCTAGTGATCTTCCCACAAAGCATGTCCAGTAGACATAAGGCCAACATGCTTTGCAGTCTCCTGCCAACAACATCACCCTTTTCATCCCTTTCCCTTTTGCAGGTGGGCTGATTCGGGAGACAGTCGAAAGTTGAAACAAGTTGATAGTTCCTGCCAGGCGGGTTGTTTTCACTTATTCGCGAGGGGTTCTCGCCCGTTGTCACTATACGTTTCCTTGCACTTACGACCGTTTCGCTTTTTTTTTTTTTCGTGTAGGTCCCATAGGTGATTGTGAGGGACCAGCAAAGCAAACAGTTTGACGACACCTCTAGAGAACGACTTCACTATCCCTGACTTCGGACTGATAGCACTCAACATTCCCATTTCCTGCTGGAGGCCGTATCACTACTATCCCTCCGGGCCAGAGATGGCCGGCGAGACTCAAAGGGCTGAAGGGGGAGGAGAAATGTCACGAAAAGAACAAATAGAAGGTTGATTCACCATTGGTAGATACATGTGATTACAATGAAATTACACTGTGTGGATCCAATGATAAGGCCTATTGGACTGTACCTATTGGGTTAGGGGGTGAATCCAGATTCCCGCTTCGATCATTTTAGGGGCTCATCCTTGTTTGCCGCACAATTGAGGAGGTCCCTTTTTCTCCCAACAAACATATTGGGTTTGAGCTTTTCAATATATTAGACGGATTGATCTGGATCAAAATGAAGAAACCGAACTCAAACCACAAGGTGACCTCACTTGTTTTATTCCTTCAGGTATTTGAGCAAACCCATGAGTTCGGACAATGGTTGCCTATATTATCTCGGTCTGCATTTGCACAGTAGGTTGGATTCGAGTCAAAATCCACGCGCGGCGCTGCCGGCTTGCCAGGCTAGGGCTTCCTCCACAAGATGGGTGCATGATAGACATAATGTGTCAATGGGTCAGGCACCTTGTGTTGGCCCGTGTTGGCCCAACCCAATTGATCCCATCAGAGAGGCAAGAAAGGAGGGGCCACCTGAATAGAGGCCCTTTAAAGGGTCCTGGTCCTGGTCCCTTGCCTTTTTGTTCGATTCGTATCACTTTACACGGTAACATTCAACCACCTCCGAACCACTGACTGCTCGCACAGCTCGACCCTGCCAGAAAAGTGAGGTGGGCAAGCATGCAAACACCATCTTCCAAGAAAAGGCTCAGCAGCGCCTAGGTGAAACCTGTGGAGATGTGGTGGTGTCAGGTGAGCCGCTGTAAA